ACACCATTTTTCTAGGAATGAGCCTGTCCCAAAAAACTGCAATGGAAAATTACAACCACCAATTGGTCCAGGTCACAACACAATCTCATACAAGTGGATGGGCACCCCAGATAATATACCTCAGTCTCTTCATGACACACCATACGCAAAGATTCTAAACTTAATTAAGAAATCACAAGGGTTACTGCAGGTCAGAGTATGTCAAAATCTGATTATAAGAGTTAGCAAAAGGGAATAGAAAGAAGAGCATCTTTCTGTGATCATATGGGCAGATAGACCAGTAGTAGTCATCTTCCTTGGGTCATACAGACAGTTAGTGAGATGTGATGGATTCTCTTGAGCCAAACAAGTGGAGGAATATAGCAGACATGCAAATGACTTTGTTTAAATATAGAATTCTCCTCAATTTTATAGATGCATTCATTAAGCAGCATTGTTCCTAGTCTTTCTGTACATGATTCTGATTCTCAAGCCAAATAGGCTTTGTGATACTTTTATGTCTAAAACACTCCATATTGAAGCATTTGGTTTATTATTCATAAAACTTCACTGATTTATTCCAATAGTGTTCATCACAAGTCTATGTAATAATTTGTAAATTATCTGAATATCAGCTGCTCTTCTAAACTCAACTCTAAGGGTAATGTGCTATTATTGCAATGTTTTATTGTCATTTTTAAATAATCATTGCTATGTTTATAACCTCATAGTATCTCAAACCCATAGTTAGATACATAGTTAAATCTCTATGTAACATTTAAAAGTGGTCTCAGCAGAGTTTGGAGAAAAGTTTTTTTCTACCCTATGAAGTAGAGCCTAAGCCTTCAATCTTCTGTCCTTGGCTTCCAGGTATCTTCCCACAAGGAGTTTCCTAATTTTACACCTTTCTTAAGATAAGGGGTTAGGAAAAAAGTTTTGTATTTTTAAGCTAATTTCCCTTTTTATCTTGTCAATGATCTCCCTGAGACAGGGAATGTAAATTCAAGATGCCCTTAAATAAGTGCAAAATCTGACATTTATTGCTCTTGTCTAATCCAAAACTACTTCCTGTAGTAATGTGAAAGGGTAGGCTACTCCAGGAAAAGAAGACTACATCTCACAGATGTTCTTGTCACCCTTCCTGTGCTACTAGAACATGCTTACACAGGGGCTAATCAGACCTGATCAGCATGTCTTTTAACCTGGAGGGCTGTGCCAACATTTCTAGGCTGATAGGAGTGGGCCTTCATTTATTGCCCTTTTTTCATTCTGTGCCTTTCAAGGTAGAAAAAAGAATCCAGTGCTGAGTGTGAGTGTATTTGCATATATATTTAAAATTATTCATAGCTGGGGGGCAAACAAAGAACAATGACAGAAGGAAAACTTGTATTTCCTTTTATTTTCCAAGAGTGCACACTATGGAATTCTTATGCCTATGATGTCTCCTTTGCTATTTTTTCTCAGATCCCCCAACCTCTAAATTTTGCAACGTATTGGGGCTTAATGCTTTCTAATCTCTTCTCCTGTTTTCACTTCATCCCTTGGTGTTTCTTGGCTCAAAAAATCTTTATGGTAACAATTCCCAAATTTATGTTTCCATCCTAGATTTCTCCTCTCACTTCCAGCTATCCAACAAACATTTCTGAGTCTTGGATGTCTAACTGGCATTTCAACTTAACATTTCCAAAATGAAATACCTGATTTTGCCTCTCAAATCTGGTCTTTTCTCATGCCAGCAAATGGTATCTATATGGTTTCTGTCATTCAGGCCAAAAATCTTGGTGTCATCTTGACTTCTTTCTCTTATACTCTACATCCAATTCCTCAGATAATCCAATTGGTTATATGCAAATTATGTGCAGACTCATCCCTCCATCTCCACTACCCTGGGCTAACTTCAGCATCATCTCTAGGCTGGAAGTAGTCTCCATGGCAACAATCCCTAACTAGTTTCCCCTGTTACAATAATACAACAACTAAAATACACTGGATAATTTCTAATCTGCAAATGTTTTGCCTTAGAGATATGTAACATTGTGAATCATGAAAACTGTGCAAACCATTACCATCACATTTTATAGATGAGGAAAGAGAGGTTTGGGAAGGTAATTTGTGATCCAGGCATTCTGTGACATAGCTCCAATTTGAACAGACTAAACAAGCTCCAAAACCAGTTGTATATAATATTCCACCTCTGTTTTCCCATTCAGGGGATTGTCTGCACTGTTGGGAATCTGGAACCACGTAGGTGAGGATGAAGCCACCATGGCAGGCATATTAGGTAGAGATGTTTAGGGCCTTGTCATATTATAGCATTAAAATTATGCAAGTTAGCTGCTTGCCTGCATAGGCTACAACTTGGGATAGCACAAAAACCCAGATTTATTTTTAAAAATCATAAGTTAACTTTTTAGAGTGTGTGTGAATATGGTCAGAGAAAAATATCATAATGGTGATTTCAAACTAATAGTTATAGTATTACAAGAAATATTATATCTGAGATTTATTAAACATATCAAGCTGCCACTTAAAGAAGATAGCAAGTCAAACAGATTGAGTCATACATATAAAGAAATGGAACCCTAAAACACTGGAAAGGAAGGTACAATAAAAATTGGTAACAAACAAAAAAATCCCCTTCCCCCAGAAAAGCTAAACTGTAAAAGCAAAATCCCTTGAATAGCTTTTGAGCAGTGATTTTTTTTACTGGTTTTCCTTAGAGACTAAAAGTCCTTCCTCATTCATATTTCTTTTCATTCACCCACTCGTACCGAATTAAATAATGTTAATGACCATGAGGAAATCTTCCTGTGTTACCGAACACCTTAAAATGATCATTTGACGAATACGGGCTTACCTAGAATGAATACATTCCAAAATTTTCTTTTCCACCACCCCATGTGTGTCTGGTTATATGTTGTGTCCCACAAATAAGCACAAGCTTATACTGTACTGTACAGAGGAGGGGAGAGTGATCCTGTGAAGCCGCCATGTGTGGGAAGAAAAGAGACTGATGCTCACAGGCCCTCCAAAGGAATTCATTTAAGCTTCATACCAGATTTGGGAGGGCTGGTTTTACCTGCCTAAAGTTGGCACAGGCAAGACACCATTCAAGCAATCCCTAAGTTGAGGATAGTGGGCATACAAGTTCTACTGTGTGGCTGCAGTGTAGCTTTGACCCATTCTTCTCTAAGCAACAGTTCAACTTACAAAACAGTTCTACTTACAATCTAAAGCATTGAGACACACCTCATTACATGAATGAGGCCCCAGAAAGGTCCATTTTTACCTTCTGCTCTTCCAAAGTTCATGGTTAAATCCCAGACTTACCTTCCCCCACAGTGAATGAATTGAGAGAAAGAGAGAGAGGGAAAGAGAGAGAGAGAGAGAGAGAGAGAGAGAGAGAGAGAGAGAGAGAGAGAGAG